TGTAATATTTCTACTTGTGTGATGTAGAAGATAATTATCAAAGTATGTAATTATGTATGAATGTTAACAGTCTGTAATATTCTTTAGTATATCACTAGCGTGGTGTAGAACAAAATTATCCATGTAGTAATACTGCTTGCAATCCAATGATGGTAAGATGATGTTATGGGGTAGGACTAGATAAGTCTAACTTCTTCCTACTCCGTTCAAGCATGTACTAGGTATAAGCAAATTGATAATGCATTTGTGGATATGTGTGAAATTATGTGTGTTGACATATTGACTGTCGTTACATGTTTGAAAGAATAAATCAAATCAAATCAAAAATATTCTCTTCTTTAAGAACCGGCTTAATGATTAATCAGACGGGAATGTGGAAGTAGAATATGTATCCATGTAGTAATACTGCTTGCAAACCACTGATGATAAGATGATATTAGGGGGTAGGACTAGATAAGTTTAACTTTTTCCTACTCCGTTCAAGCATGTACTAGGTATAAGCAAATTGATAATGCATTTGTGGATATGTGTGAAATTATGTGTGTTGACATATTGACTGTCGTTACATGTTTGAAAGAATAAATCAAATCAAATCAATCAAATCTTGCCATCTGACATTTGATTTCATCATATTTTGAAGCACATTATGGAACATTCCACTTATATCATATACTATTAGACATAATGTGATATTTCTGAGTGATAGTCTAAAGTTTGCAGTTTTGATAGCTGCATATAGTCTTATTCTGACTTGTTTTAATTGCATTTCGGTAACTGTTTAAATGTACTACATGTTGAAATACTGTCATTATTTCCAAGTAAGCAAAACCTATACATCTATTATGCCTAGTGATGTTTATTGCTGGGTCACTACAATGTTACAGGTAAAGATCTGTAAATAAACTTAGCCTATGTCTTATCTGTTTGAATTCTTCTGCTGAAACTATAGCTGATTAAATTGATTTAACATGTAATGTAGCATCCATTAAGGAATTCAAGTCTGTTAAATAGCTAATAAATGAGCTATACTACCTACAGTAACTTACTTAATACTTTCTCTGCTCCAACTCACTATAAGTAAAAAAAAAAACTCAGAAAACAATTCAGTTCTAACATAAAATCTCTATTTTCTGGAATACATCTGATGTTTTCTGTTGGGTTTAAGAGGTTAAACAATCTTAACCAAAACCCGGCCTGGGTAGTAGAAGTGACTAAAATATAGCCCCGCCCTTATTGTACGTTGTGGGATTTGTTTGGCTGCAAAAGCTAAGCATTAAAAGCGTATTGGCAGTCTTACACTGTCAATCATTTTAGAGGCGTGTCCTTACGTCGTTGTTAGGGAAAGCACAACCAGTTTACACAAATGTCAACCAGCGGTCCACCGGCATAAAAGTATGTCAAATTAGGGAAATGGACGAACCTTCAGAGCAAATGAGACCCCTCTTGAGAACAGTAAGTACTTGCCCAACACAGGTAATAGTTAGCCTACTATTGTATATATATATGTATAAAACGTTATATGACTCTATGTCCGTGTTTTCATCTAGTTTGCAGAGCACCAGTAGAATTATTAGAGATGCTTGGGAGTCAGATTCACTGAGCATCCCGTGGCTGCTATTGTTAGCCGGCTTTCTACTTCTGGCACGTGGCTTACGCTGGGTACAAGTTGTGTTCGGGTCTCTTGTTAAAGTCATCTCAGGCTTTCATTCAGATATAGGGATTCGTTTCCCTGGCTCGTTTTTATTTGGTTATTAGCTCCCCTTCATTTGTTTTCACGCAGTAGTGCTACTTGCTAATGAATTAGCCTGTTAGAGACGTTATTAAACGTAGCGATGTTTAACTTGTATATATTGTGTATTTATTTTTGTTTTTATGTTTGTGCACATTGGGGGGCTGTAACTGAGCTGGAATCAAATTCCTTGTGTTCTTGAAATACTTGGCAATAAAGTTTATGCTTATGCTTATGAGGTTTTAAACGTCCCGCTAGCTGGCAAGTCTGGTAAAGAGCACATTAATGAACTGAATCATTATATCAAACTTGGTCTTACGTAGCCTAACGTCATATTTTGTTGGTTTGACAATAACTGATCATTTATAAAGACTGCAACTGGTTAGTTTCCTCCACCCCACAGGGTTCAGGTTGTCGACACAACGCCGGTTTTGTAATATTTTTCACGTTCAACAGGTTCACCCGCCCGTTGTTTGACAGTATTTCCCAGCTAGTGACCTGATAAGATATATACCGGTAGATTTTCGGAAATAAATGCTTATTTACATATTAAGTTTGTTCAAAAATACGCTTTAAATGCCGCGACTTTTATTGTGAAAATGTTAATGAGGAAAACTCGCCATAGTCTACTCATACGTGCATTAAAGCCTGTGTGATGTTTTAACTGAGCTGTGGTTGACAGCAGAGACCTACATCCTGTCTGTTGGGTGTTAACTACAGTCACAGGAGGGGCAAGATGAGCATCAAACACAATGTGTTACAAGCCAAAAAACCGAAACGGATTAAAGTGCCAAGTTTAAAATGCAGGCTGAATGTCTGACATCAGTGCTGGTGTAGGGTTGTCTACTATATTTGTGCCTGTATGCCTAGGTATGCATGTGTATTCCTGTATGACTATGTGCATGCATCTGAGGACATTTTACCCGTGCTCCACCGCAAAGGACTCACAAGAGAACTACAGTACCTTCTTCATTTTCAGCCATGGGAATTCAATATGTTCACTGTGACACAGGAGCCTTAAAGCAGAAATTCAACAGCTTGATGCCTGATAATGATAAAGAACATATCATTGTTAAGCTCTGAGCTGTAAATTCAACTAGTTAGTACATGCATGTTTAAAAAAACTGAATTTAGTTTAAACATGCTTTTACAAAGATTTTGTACATGTGCAGTGGACTCTTGCTTCAGATGCTGTAAAACGTTATCCCTGTTTGGAGCTTTTGGGGCAACATTTTTAACAAATATGCAGCTCTGGTGTTTTGTAATGAAGAAATGTGTCACCCAGTGCAGCTATGTGTTTCACTGATGCGTTTTTAATTGTTTTTGAACAACAGCAGAAGTCTGTGGCACAGATGAATAAACTAATCCTGACTGGAGACTGACAGACATTAACCATGGGTAGAGGCAACGCGCTGTATAGGAATTGTTGAAAATACAAGGCTGTGAAACTGACCGACCTTATCCTTTAATTTCATGCACACTTTTTAATCTTAATTTTCATTACAAGAGGCATTTTAATTTTAGGTTTGTTTAACATTTGCCTTTGTGGTTTTGGGATTAGTCTGTTTGGAACTGGCTGACATTGTTACAAATGCCATGTCCACAGGGTTTTCTCGGATCCATTATGTTTTCTTGACTTACACAATGGACTCTTTATTACTCTGTAGGTTTCAAGAATGTTTTAAGCCCTACTCATGTAACAGTTCTTGTTGTGATCAAGAAACAAATGAGCCCTAGTTCTCTGAAAAATTAAGGTTGTTGAATGGCATGTTTAACCTTGAGGCTATGATATGTCAAAGGCACGGGGCCATCTGGATGCCGTTGACTACACAGCTATCGGTCCGTTTTCATTTCATTGCACCCTCTCAGGAATGCTGAGCCCAAATGTGTGCTTGGTTCGGTTCGTCTGTGTTGGGGGTGGCTCTTCAATTGCGACCTGAATACTTCACAGGGTGAGCATCTGTGTGTCCTCCAAATATGTGTGTACACTATGTCCGCCATGTGATGGTGGTGGTGGTTGTGTGTTTTTAAGCTCTTGGCTGGGCAAATAAAATATTCATGCTGGCATGGTGGGATTGGCTGCTGAGCAAAGAGCGGGCTGACAGGGTAGAGCAGAGCCCTGTGTTTCGAAGCAGCTCGCTCCCTCTCTCTTTTCCTAACCCTGTATAAAGCGATGAGTGGAGGAAGAGGGAGCAGACGAGTGCGGCAGTGTCTCTGCTAGCGATTAGCTCACACACAGCTTCAACAGAGATAAGCGCCAGAAAGGAGGAGCTGGTTCACATTCTTGCAGCCCTTGCTTTGCAGATGCTGTAATCTAAATGGACGAACAGAATGATGGAGAGCATGTGCTTAAGGTATGTCTGATCCTGTGTGCGTGTTTTTAACTGTCATGGTCTGTCCTTAATCAGGATCCAGTGGCTGTGTGTGCGTGCTGTATTATCCGTGTGGTTGTGTTCATATTGGTTTGTCCTCTTGTGCTCATCTATGGCAGAATAAAATAAATAGTCATCTGTGCTAATGAATGGAGCAGGTGGTCAATACATTTGACCAGAAGGCTAAAGGCAGAGGTGTGATGATCAGGGAGATAAGGTGAAAGAGGGGTTGAGAAGCTGTTGCTTCATCAGACGTGCCTCTTGAAATGAAAACGTTTCATTTTCTACTCTTAAATTGCCTCAGGGTGCAGGAACAAGAGGAGAGCCACAGAGACCATTATGGCTGCTTGAAGGAGTGGGACAAGGAGAACAGGAAGGAAGAGAGGAGAGAGGCAAGGAGTGTCAAGGAGAGGAGGGTGAAAAATGGGTGTCCCAGAGTAGCTGAAACCAAACAAGGTGCATGCTATCTATAGAGATGATGTACACTGACGGATAGGAAATCAAATGAAACACTTGTTTCCATTCAGTCTAGCTAAAAGCACAAGGTGTAAAAATGACTATGCCCACAGGGGCAGCAACAAGCAAGGAGGGACTGTTAAAATTAGGTGCACATAGAGAGGAAATATTTGTAAGGCAGAGAGAGGGCATGGCTTCCATCTTTGTATTTATGTGTCCGTGTCTGTAAAACATGTGCATATTTGGAAGTATTGATTGAGTCCAGTGGAAACTATGATCAGCATTTGTTTGAAGTCTTTCTAGCAAGTGAAATATCTTCCAGCAGTTTAAACCACATCTTCATTCAGGAGACATTAAATATAAGTCACAAGTTTCTGACTGCCTTAGTTGGGCCTTGTTCAAATGTGGTGAGGTTCCATGGTGGTAAATTGACAGGCTAGTGAGCAAAAGTCACTAAAATGTAGCAGCCAGGTGAAATCATATAATTATCTCTGCTTCCGTTGGTTACCTAGCACCAGCTAAGCACTAATAGATGTTTGTTCCTTCCCGAAAGGACTTTGACCAAATTATATAATGCACATAATACATGTACATAGAAGAATATATAATGCAATCATTTGTTTATCTTTAATCTCTCAATTTAATCTTTCAGTTTTCCTATATAATTTCATGAGTTACATAAGTTAGCATTAACTGGCAGTTAATAGGTGTCAGTGTTCCCATCTATAGTGTGTAGATGTGCATTTGGCATTGTGAGACAGAGAGATATTCTGTAACCTCTGTGTCTGTGTAACATCTCTGTCAGTTGGACCAAGTCCTAGTAGAACAAAGCTGGCTAGGAACTGAGAATAGAGGGAACCAGCACTTGGCTTGTGGAGTGGCTTGTTGTTTCATTCACGGTCTAGTAGGCTGAAGAGGCTTTTGGCTGCTGTGTGGCTAAATCACTCCCACACAAACATAGTTGCAGTAGTGAGGTTAACGTGCATCTTTTCAATGATTGTATCAAAAATGTAACATGATTTTTTTTTGTATTAAATTGTTTTACATTTGTTTTTGTTCCCTTTTTGAACCCAACTCCCAGTAGGAAGCTGAATTAACCAAACAACATGCTTGATGTGTAGGATCACACAAAGCATAGCTGAGATTTGGGAGGTGTACACTCAGGCTCATCTTCAGTCCTCTGCGACCTACAAATACCCACAAGGCTGTCCTCAGTGTAGGCTGGCAGAAATGTTTACATGCATGTTCAGAGCAGCATATTTCCAGCCATAGAAAGTGACACGTGAGTACTGTTGCCCACATGAGGCATCTTTTGTCTCAGAGGACACCAACAGATGAGAAGTGATAAAGAGGGACAGTTTTTCTGGTTAGCACTGCCTGCTGCCTGTTGCCTCGTTTTGATTGTCATTTGGACAACTCTCTATTTGTCCACATTTGTCTTCTGCAAAGTGTATGGAACTTTTTATCTGAATTTCCCACTGTGCTAGACATCAATTGTGTCAGTGGTTGGGAGAGCAGATTGTGGCATATCCCATAAGTAATGTATCTGTCATGTGGCAGCACACGTCTGAATGGCCACAGACAGGCCAGGAAACACTGTGGTTACTCTTACCGTGCAGTACACCCACAGAGTTTACTGCATTAGGCTCATACCACAGTTGCATTTGAATTCAGAGAAGTATTTTCCATATACATTTGTATCTTCATCACTATTTAGCATTTACTGTATTGTGGAAATACTGTAATATGATGTTGCTCAGACATGTTTGAGGGAATATTTTAAACAAATGTAAAATCATAATGGTCACCACCAGACACACGTTATCTCCGTGGATCCACACACAGAGCTAGGCACTTACAGTCAGGCTTTCTTTACTGTGCAGATGCAACCAGAGACACATCAGTCTTCTGTCAACAGCCCTCTATTAAGGTTATTATTCCTTACTCAGCTGGCAGCTCTTCTCCCCTCCACCCCTGCTGCAGTGGCAGAGCTCCCATAGGCAAACCACAGCTGTGCTTTGTGGACATAAAGGCCAATCGCCTCCCAGGCCTTGGGAGCAGAGAGTGACAGACTGGGGGTTTATTTTGGACAAAGCTATTTGACAGGCTGCAATGTGGGATCAAGGGCACAGCAGACTAATACATGTATATACTTCACTAGACAGACATTACAACATGCATAGAATACATAAGGCAAGGCAAGGTAGGTTTATATTACACATTTTCACAAGTGCTTAACACAATGCACACAGGTAGATAAAACATTAAAGTGCATACAAAATGCAATGAAAAGGAAAGGCATATGTATATAGATAAAACATTAGGATGCAAATTAGATAAAACATTAAATGTCAATTAAAAGCAACATTTACATGACAGTACAAGTAGCAACATGCATGAGCAGATACCTAGCACATATAGCTGTGAATTCTCACTGCTCTCATTATATTTTGTACTTCTATACTTCAGTCTTCCCAAGACAACCCTATGAGTACCTTAACACCAAAGGATGGATTACCTTCTTCAAGGAATTAGAAACACCAGTGTCTATACAGTCTGCTATGAAAGTCCCAAAGACCTTTAGGCTAGTTGTGACAAACTGTGGTTTCTAACTGTTCTCAGTATAGTTGTACCCCTTTGCTTCAGTCTTTCCTAGATTAACCTCTGAGTAGTTTACACTACAGGCAAATTTGAAACATGATAAGCATGTGTGTATGTAAACTGGTGTTTATACAGTAAAATTAAAAGATTTGTGTTAGTGATATTTTATGAAACTTAATAAGTTCATGTGATTGCTGCAGAATGGGAAATAAGCCAGTTTGACAGGTCCACAATGCTGTCTTTCTGTCCTGACACAATTGCAGCTGAACATGGGCTTCTCAGTTACAAATGATCATCAGGAAGCTGTTGAG